CAGGGTGACTTTATCTCTAGGTTTCATTCTAGTCCAACATCAGGAAGCTAATTAAACCAACTCATTTGAAAGCCTGAACAAAACCTTCCACAAACACTCCTATTCTAGATGTTTGTGGTAGTCTACGAAAACCCGAGCACACCCACTTTTCCAATTCACAAAAATTCAACTTATGTTAATACTCACTCACCTGTGGTACTGTGGGTTGTCACGGAGGTGTCTGTTGTCTTCAGCATAACTCTAGAAGAACAGAAATCCTCAATGAATTGTTTACTCGCTCTAGTTTTGAGCATCACCAAAAACAAGCAGTAAGACTTAAAACAGTTATGACTAGGGCAATTAGGAAAACTACCGAAATACACACGACAGCCTTAATAAGTTTGAGAAAAATAGGTCATCAATTAAAAGTTCATCCGGATTTAGTTAAGTTGTCCTTTATTGGTCAAATTTAGTGTGGTTAACATTTTAGTGTACAAGCTATTACTAGTAATCCAACAGTTAAATTTTTGTCTCATTTAACCAGACAAGGTGCTGACGAATAAGTCCACGTCTGTCGGGTCGGGAGAATCCTTTCATCTAATAAAATTTCGGTCCTTCCAGAACCACTATTACTCAAAAAAACACAAACAACCAAAACCCAAAAACCCATAGCATAGGCCTCATGTAGTGACAAGAGGCGCGTGTCACAGCAGCAGCAGCGTCTGTCCTGGCAGGTACATTCCTCAGCATTCCGAAAGCCAGAGCTTCCACGTTTCCTCATAGTTTCCTCATAGTTGGAGGAAATACCTTTACCCCCACGCAGGACGTTTCTAGAAACCACACCTCCTCCGTCTCAACCAAGGAGGCTGCCCCTGGTGACTAAAGACCGCATGTCAGTTTCCAAACGCATTTCAATGGGTGAAAAAGCTTGTTCCGGGGACGATGTCGGTCACCTTCGTCACCCGGAGAAACGGGGAGCAAAGGATCGGCTCAGAAAGCCACACGTGTGTCCCCGGCCTCGCCCCCTTTCCTCCACCCCCCATTCCCGCTGCACCGTCGGACAGCAGCTCCCATGGCTGCCCTCATTTCCGGTGCTCCCGGAGCTGCGCCACCCCCGAGGCCACCGGACACCCTGGAACCTTTAACAGACCTTTCGGAGGACTTCGCGACTCCATCACCCTTCGCTAGGCGTTGTTCTGGAGCGAATGGTAAGCCGGTGCCGTAGAGACACAAACCTACCGGGCAGAGTCCGCTTCCTCGCTTCCAGACACAGAAAATGGGATAGAGCTACGGCCGCTGCTGCCGGGACAAAATGGCGCCGAGAAACCGGCTAAGCGCAGGCGCCTAGGGAAGACCCGGCTCCGCCCCCGAGCTAAACCTTGGCTGCAGTTCTGGATTCCGTTTCCATGGGACACGCCACAGCCCAATCCTCGTGCGGAACTGCTCTTCCTGACCCCTCTGTTCTCCAATCAGTGCTCAGTCAAGCACATCCGGAGTCGGCTCTTCCAATCACTTTTCCGGGCTCTCTTACTCAATCCCCTCTCCTCCAATAACGTGAGCGTCCGGACCCAGCCAATCAGAAGTGGACAATGTCCTACCTGCTGTTTTCCGCACCAATCATGGAAGTTTCACAGCCATATCCAATGAGAAAGGCAGACAGCGAGCTCCAATCCGAAGCTCTTCGGCGTCATGAGCAGCCAATAGGAGTTCGTGTAGAAGCGAGTCTGCTCAACAGCTTGTTATTTGGTGGATTGTGGCAGTAAATCGGGGCGAGTGGGGAACCCGGCGCAGGAACTGCCGCTGCGGCCGGGAGCGGTGCTTCCCGGACGGGGGCCCACGGCGGTCGGTAGGGCGGCGGACTGGAGAGCTGACAGCGCGCTGCACTCGCAGTAGGTGGGTGGGCAACGGGGCAGCGGGGGCCGCTGAATGGGCGAAGCGGCGGGAGCAGCTGCTGCCGAGATGGGGTCCCGGTGCAGTTGGGAGCTCCGCAGGCGGGGAGGGGGATGCAGGGCGGGCCGTGCCCGGAGTACCGGGCAGCGATCGGGTTCGGAAGCCGAGGCGGCAACTGCAGACACGGCCGCCTCGGTCGCCTCCCCGGGAAAATGGCTGTGGGGCTGGCCGCGCCGCTAAGTTTGCTCCAGGAGGAGCGGGCTGCCGGGGGGAACCGGCCCACAAACTCCGCTGCGTGTCCCCGGCGGGGAACCGCGGCAGGACCGCGGGGGCTCGGGGCCCGCGCCTCTCCCGGGCTGTACAAAAAAGTTGAGGCGGGCTCGGGAGGAGGCGGCCGCTGCGGCGGTGCGGCTCGCTCCCCTCCCACACC